GTGTGTGTGAAAAAAGGTAATTGAACTGCAGTGTTTGCATAAACTACGCATGTGTAGCAGTCATTGCAATTACATCCCACTACTCCTGAAGCTCCAAGGCATTGCTGTGGGCTGCGTGTGGTTTTTTGGGGGGAGCCTGTATGGCAGTCATCTTCAGACCTCACTCGTGCTTCAGTACTTTTGCCTCTTTTTCATGCACACATAACACGATAACATTGAATGCATGTTACTTTTCCTCTGCAGCTTATTGCAGTCCCTGTGGAAAAGCCTTTCAGTCAATCTTGCTCCAAGTGTGTAGGGCCCTGAAGCTGGTGATGCTCGAGCAAGTGGTGTAAGAACCATCCTGTGGGCTGGTTTCAAACTTGCGCTTGTTCTTGTCAATATTTGTTCAGCTCTGAGGGGAGGCATCAAAACTGGGTCCAAAATACACTGAATGTCCTGGGCTGGAGGCTTTCCAAGTGTGAGTAAGCCAAATGCCTCTGCTTAGTAGCAAACTCTGCACATTCTCCTTGGATTTGCATCTCTAAACTTGTGCTTCTGTGTTCAGTGTGTTGCTGTTTTGAGTTAAAAACAGTGCAGTTCCCAGCACGGTGTCTGGAAATGAGTCTTGGAGCATTGGATACGATCCCGTACACTTTGGCAGCAGCGAGCCAGATACTGTGGGAGGCAACCACCAGGCTGGCCATGGAAGCCCAGTTACTGAGGGAACTCGAGCTCAGGACTTCTGCCACTCCCTGGAGTTGTGCCTCAGCTTGAGGTTACAGAGGAACAGGTTTATGTAGCACACGTTGTAACTCACAGCTGAAAGGAGGAGCTCACAGCTCTTGGAGCTGCCAGCAGATATTTGCTCATGTAGCACAGTTAAGCACAAAACTCACTTGTGGATGTAGCTGAATAAATAGCACTGACCCTGTGTAAATGCAGGAAACCTTCAAACTCCTTTATTAAGGATATGAATGAAATGAAATGTTAATCTTGTGAGTTTTATTATTGTTTTTCAAAGTAATTGGCATGATTTTCTCTGACATTGTTCTAAATCTTACTTCCCATGTAAAATACCAATACCTCATTTTGTGATTTTAGTTTCAGGGCCTGCCTTAGACTGTAGAAATGCTGAGTTCCCTTGGATCTGTCTTAGAAATGAGCAATATTTCACTACACAAGAAGTTCCTTCTCTTGCCTTTCTGTAGGGGTGGGCAAACAGCACCATTGCGGTGAAGCTGGCCAGGCTTGTCTGTTACTGTGTGTAAAGCTGGAAGAATTGGAGTATCTGTGGGTTTAGGCTGACTGCCACACAGTTCTGGAGTGGAAAAAGCAAGTCTTATACACATGCATTCTCTGCATTTGAACTTAAATTGCATGAGTGAATGGGTTTGGAAAGTGAAATCTTGAGGCTCAAGTGACATGTCGGATGCTATTGCAGTCTGTTCTATCCAAATACAAACCAGATTACTTTGCCTCAGTGTCACCTCCAGGGAAACTTCTCCAGGTCTGGGCATTACCTTGGCAATTGCTCCAATGCCAGAGGTCTCCAATTGAGACTGAGCTCAAATCTAAGTCTGTATCCAAAGACTGTCCAGCTCCAGTCCAGTACAGAACCTTTTGTACAAAGCTTCAGCCTGGAGTGAGCTTTCAAAGTAGTTGAAAATCCCCTCAATGAGGGGTTTTTTCAGGAAACAGACAATCTTGACTGCACCAGTACCAACATTGCTACTTGAATTGATCTTAACTTGTAAATGGTCTCCTTTTCTTGATGGGTGTTGACATACCACTAAGGCTTTTCCACTTCTCTGCCACGAATAAGTATCTGTTTTAGAGGAGATTTCTTTAATTGTTGGTCTCAATTCCAGGTGGATAAACTGGATGCATCAGAGTCTTTGAGAAAGGAAGAGGAGCAAGCTACAGAAACACAACCTATTGTTTATGGTAATGCTTTAGTTCATCTGTTATCAATAAGATATTTCACTTTTAAAACAAGCCTTCCCTAATCTTGTTTTTGTCCTGAGGAAGTCCTGGGAAATGGGAATGTTCTCCATGTGAAATCAAGTCTTAAGGAATGTGTTCCAAAATACTAGATAATGTATTTTGTGTTCCAAAATACACCACTCTGAGGCTGTGGACTGCAGGATTTAAGATTGGCCTGGCTCCTTAATGAAAGGCATACAGGAGCTGTGCTACTCCCAGACTTCCAGCAAGTGGTTATTTGGATCTTTATAGCTAAAGCATATTTATACCTACTTCATACTGGGTATTTTCTTTATACCCAGGTTATTCTAGTAAGAGTTTCTTCATGTACTTTACACTGCAGTATTTTTAGCCACGTGTTGTGTCCTGAGGTGTTGTGGGAAAATACCTGTCCTGGCCCTGAAAAAGCCCAGTCCAGGTCAGCAGGGATTTACTGATGAAACACAGAAATACCTGCTGAAAGTTCTCAGGCATTTGATTTCTCAGTTGAGGAGGAGTAAGGTGCCCGTTGTGTGTTGCAGGCCAGCCCCAGCTGATGCTGACAGCGGGACCCAGCGTGGCAGTTCCTCCGCAGGCACCTTTCGGCTACGGCTACACGGCCCCTCCGTACGGGCAGCCACAGCCCGGCTTCGGCTACAGCATGTGAGATGCAGCACAAGCCAGTCTGGAGCAGCAACTTTTCTTACTGAAACTCCACCGTCCCTCCCCGCTTTAACTCATAACAGGGAAAAGCAAAGAGTTCTGCCTCGTGTTCTTGTAACCTTTATTTCATGAAGGACTGTTTTTTCTAGCGCAAACGATTTGAATCACTTCTGTTAAATCTTTTTCACATTCCATGTCATTTAGACTTTTACTTTCAGAAGGGGAATAGTTTAAACAACTTTGTTCAAGTGGGCTTTTGCAGGACTGCTTATTACCATTAAGTCTATTGTGAAGATTCTGATTTGCACTCTATAGTGTTACACTCTAATATTGAATCTTAAGTTCATTGTATGTGAGCAGCTTACAAGTATGTACTGTCTATTCTAAATGCATTTAAGTCTCACTGTATATTTGGAGAAAGCTAAAGCCAAGATACTTGTATTTGACCTTGCAAGACTGCTGACAAGAGACAACACTAATCAGCATATCCTCCCTGGGTTGGATTGCATAGCTCTAAAAGAATTTAAAATGCGTACAGACAACCTTGCCTGACTTAAAATGAGTAAAAGTTTTGGGTTTTTGTTTTTTCTTTTTTTTTTTTTCCCCTTAACCTATGCAGGTTTTTCCAGTTATGCATATAGAAAATGCTAGTGTCTTTTTGCTCACTCCATATGTAACAGATGACCTTATGTTGTGCTGTATCCTGTGCTTTTGTGGGACATTCCATTCAGGAACAGAGCACCATGATTCCAATCTGTGTATTTACTAACCCTGCCCTGAGGTTTGTGTATGTTGGATATTGTGGTGTTTTAGATCACTGTTTTGAGTGTACAGAAGAGAGAATTCAAGCATATTGCTGTTCAGTTTTGTTTGTGCAATTTGAAATTACGCAATTTAAAAATAAATTACTGGACTGTGGACATGCTGCATAGTGGTAGCTTCACTTTACTGTCTTCAAAAAAAGGACCTTTGGACTCAAAGTATTCCAGTGCTGGTAGTGGGAGCAATGCAGGTGTGTGCAGCCAGGGGTCTGAGGGGCCAGCAGAGCAGCAATGGGGACCAGTAGTGGGGTCTTGCACTGAGGGGGCAATACAGGAAAATATGTAATGCTTTTTCTAGAGAAAGATTATGCCAGAGAGAAGAAAATAGCACTTTTCACCAGTTGGCTGCACTGTGGTCAACTCCAGCATATTTGACCAGATGATACATTAGGATTGTAGTAGGGTGTGCCAGTTCAATTGAGATCATGTTCTAGGTATGTAAATTGCCTTAAACATATTTAGCTTCAAATAAAATTGACTTAAATGTTTCTCTATGAATACTGTCATATTTGAGTGTAACGAGTCTGACAGCACTGGCCAGATTTCCAACAGCTCCAGAAGCTCCTGTCTCTTAACCAGGAGCCACACTGGGCATCAGGATCCAGATCCCACTCCCTCCTCTGAGCTCCACAGTTGTGTGCTGTGATCCCGGGGCTGGGCACTGCAGCACTTCCATGGAATAGGAGGTGGCAGGGGCTCGCCTGCCCCAGGCTCTGTGGTCAGCAGGGGTGGAGCACAAGTCTGCAGCGAGTCTCCGCAAAGGATTATGCCTCTAATTAAGAGATATAGTATAAAAACATTTCCATCCTCTGTGTTTATTGGCATTTCAGCCCCTCTGCCATTCCCTCTGGGTCTGTGGATGGCTGGAGATGGAGATAAATCCTGTTCCCTCTCCTACAAACTGCTTCACAACACTCAGCTGGAACATGTGGCTGAGAGGTTGGCAAAGGTGCTTAACAGCAGAACTCTCACAAACTGTACAAGCAGAATTTACTGGAACCCCCAAGGAGCTCTGAACTGTGCAATAATATCTATAACAGGGTAATTCCTTAAACCCAGGAGCGCCTTCCTGTTAATCCCAAGAAAACCAGGATTTAAGTCTTTCCCTGAGTGCCCAGTTGTTTATATGGAGGGTAACTCCCCATGTCTTGGTTTAACTGCACATTTTTGCATGTGTAGGAGCTACACAGACCCCTCCAGAGGGAAGCTCAGCTTACAGCTGCTCCCCAAAACTGTTTACTGGTCTGGGCTGCAAATCCAGTTGAACTGGTCAGCCTGGTACCAGTTACAAGTTGTTGTTTGGACAGGAAAGTTGGCCACAGTTACTCCCAGTTCCAGTTCTTAACTGCTTCACCAGCTGAGCCTTTCTGAATTAAATAATGTATTCACTACAAAAAACAGAGAACAGGCAGAGAGAAGAAACTCTTAACCTCTATCAACCAACATGCAAAATCCTCAACCAATTGCACAAGTTGTAAATTTACTGGGTTCATTCTTATGCCATCTCTGCTTTCCTCAACTGGCCTAGAATTTTCTTCCTCCCTTTGGAACAAAAGCTAGACAAACTCATGATTTACAAATTTAAATCTTAAAAAACTTGCTTATTTTATTAACAAGGGAAGATAAGGGAAAAAAGCCCAACTTGGATTTTTATCCCTTCAGTACTGACACATACATGAACACATCCAGGTCTTTTTGGTACCAGTTTAGAAGAGTTTAAGGTGACCAGAAACTTTATCTATGACATCAGCTGGTCCTGGTCCGATCCCAAGGACTGTCCTGGAGCCTGGAGCTATCTGAGTACGCCCAGCATCCTGTATCAAGCTCACAGTCAGCCCCAGGCGCTTTGCCTCAGCCAGGAGCTGCACCAGAGTCTCTTCATCAGGAGCTTTGAGGACCACTTTAGGTTGTCCACAATATTCCCACTGCTTCAGGAGCTCAGGATTCCTTTTGTGAACCTGCTTGTAGGCAGAGACAGCAGCATGGGAGCACTGTGCTGCTACTTTGCCCTTGCCCATCTTCAGGTCATTGCGGACGATCAGCACCAACTTGAGCTCCCCAGACTCTCCCATGATGTCAGCCTCGCCCCCCAGGCTGTTGGAAGGATCTGGCATTATTCCAGCTCCAGGCTTCCTGCGGAGCCTCCCCCGGATGACCCAGCCCAGGCACACGCCGCACACGGCCCCGATGATGACATTCAGGAACTCGGACTCAAAGAGAGAAATCATGGTGGATTTTGGAGAGTGCCTCTGAAAGGGAGGAATGACAGAATTTACTTGAGTGTTTCTCAGCTTCTGAGAGCATTTCATGTGCTCTCACCTGATTTCCACTTGTTTGAAGAGAAAGAACATTTGTTAGAAACACAAAGGAACAGTTCCCCAGACACAGCTTTCTGACTGCAAACACCTCACTGGTGATGGGCACTATTTTGGCAAGCAGAGCCAAGATAAAATAGCACATCATCATAGAATTATCATAGAATCATAGAATGGTTTATATTGGAACGGGCCTTAAAGTTCATCTGTTCCACCCTCTGCCATGGGCAGGGACACCTTCCCCTATCCCAGGTTTCTCCATGCTCTGTCCAATCTGGCCTTGGACACTACCAGGGATGCGGCAGCCACAGCTTCTCTGGGCACCCTGTGCCAGGGCCTCACCACCCTCACAGGGAACAATTTTTTCCTAAAATCCAGTCTAACCCTCCTCTCTGTCAATTTGAACCCATTCCCCCTTGTCCTGTCACCCCCCCCTCCCCCAGGCCTCCGTAAATAGTCTTGCCCCACCTCTCCTGTAAATTCCCTTCGCGTACTGGAAGGCCACAATTACCTCACCCTGGAGCTTCTCTTCTCCAGGCTGAACACTCCCAATTCTCTCAGCCTTTCTTCATGTCAAAATTACACCTAAAAACGGGGAGAGAAACGGTGAAATGTTGGAGGTTTTAAGTCAATACCCCAAATTCAGCTGAGGAGCGGGGCAACCTCCAGCTCCACCGCGGGCTGTGGCACCTCAGCCCTGCCAGGCCCGGCCGCGCTGGAGCCCAGGCGGATACGGAAGGCAAAGACCAAAGACAAGCAGGGTTCGGGGACCAAACCGTGCGGGACCCCACGGCCCTCAGAGGGGGCATGAGGGGGCCATGAAGGAGCCATGAAGGAGCATCCTCCTCACCGCTCACCTGTCTCTCCCGCCCGGCCGCTCCGCCGCGCCTGCCCGGAGGTGACGAGACCCCGGCGCTCGGGAAGTGACGGAGTCCAGGGCGGGACGGGGCGTGTTGTGCCGGGCCCAGTTCCGCGTTGTGCCGGGCCCAGCGGAGCTGCTGGAGCGTGGTGAGTGCCGGGCCGGGTCCGGGGCTCTCCCGGCGGGCGGGGGTCTCGTCAGCGGCCCCTCAGCGGGACCCCTCTGCGCTGTAGATGGCGCCCCTCAGCGCTGCCCACCGCGCCCCTCTGCGCTGCCCATGGCTCCCCTCAGCGCTGCCCATGGCTCCCCTCAGCGCTGCCCATGGCTCCCCTCAGCGCTGCCCATCGCTCCCCTCAGCGCTGCCCATCGCTCCTCTCAGCGCTAGCCGCGGCGCCGCCCCGCTTTCCTCACGGCTCCTCCGGCTCTGAGGGGATGGCGGCAAGAGGGGACCTCCGACCCGGGCGGCCCCCGGTGCTGTGCGAACCGAGGGACCCGTGTGGGAGCCGGGGGACGGCCGGGAACGCTGTGGAGGATCAGGGCGGGAGGGGAGGCTGCTGCTCGCCGATCTTCGGGACGAGAAATGAGCCGCTGCCATCTCACCCCGCTGGAGAGCGGCTCTGCTCTAACAAAGCTCCGGGGAGGGTGGAATAGACTCGCCCTGCTCCGGCCAAGGGACAGTGCCTGATGACACAGGGAGAAATCCGTCCTTCTCCCTGCGGAGAGTCAGATACCGATGGTCTTTGTCTGCTTTTCCACTGGAAATGTGCTGTGCTTTCCCGGCTGGGTGCTCCCTCCATCCCCAGGGACTGCCCGGGGCTTGAGGGTGGCAGGCCCAAATCCAAGGGAACACTTCTGCTGACTGGGGTTAAGCGCCTCGTTTGGCTTTTATTTCTCTAGCCAATGTCATCTGGTGTTTACAGGAGATAAAAAAGCAGCAAGATTCCCGTTTTATTCCAGTTTTGCCTCTCAGATGCTTGGCAGGTCATGTAGGTGACCTGAGGGAAGGGGAGATAAGTGCGTTTGATGGCAGCTATTTATCTATAAAGTGCTGTGAATCCAGGTTATCCCCTTTCAACTTCACCTATGACATTTCATCAGGTTTTCTTCTGCCCTTGTTTGTTCTGCTCTGTGCTTACCAGCAAGTGGGTATCCTGGTTTAGTTAATGGTGACAATGTGGGTTGAGGTGGAAAAAGTGTGGTGTTACTCTTTCATGCCTTGGACCACATGTGTTGTGTTTGGGCAGTGGATTTTGGTGCTGTTTTGCTCTTAGGAATTCTGTTCTTTTAGAGATTGTTTCACCTCCGTTTGATGGGAGGGTTTTCATGCTTCCTAACACCTTATGATAATATACAACGGCTCTTCTTCAATGCATTCATTTTCCCATTGAAATAGCCTTTGTTTTATCAGTCTTCCTTTTTCCAATCCATTATTTCTGCAGCATGGAATACTTTCCTTTATTCCTTACGGGATAAGTGACAGTTGTAAGAATGGCTTCATCCCCTGTTATCAGATGAGGGTTTCAAAAGCCATTTTCCAGTGGTGCAATGGAAGGTGAACTCTATTAGTCTGAGCTTTGTTTCTGAGCTGCTATAACCAAGGATGTTTGTAACTGCTGTGGGGAAGGGTAGGAGGAGACTTGGTAGCTTTCAAGTGGGTGGTTGCAATGAGGAAGGTGAGTAGGCTGCAGCAATTGCACTCTTTCCACCTTAAAGCTTTTTTTCTTTCTAAGTTGTTGTTTTGGAATTTTTTCTGAATGTCATGACTGCCTCTGACTGAATCTTATGAACAGCTCTCCTTAGGGTCATCTATGTCATTTGTGCATGCTTGGAGAGTCCTTATTTCTTCAAACACCTGTGGGTTTAAAGCTAAAAACCCCCTATAATTCCTGATGCATTGTGATGGGAGACAGAGTTATCTGCAGGTTGGAACTTTAACTTCTCTTCACTTGCTGACAAGTGTGAGCAGGGTGGACTTTGCTCTTCCCTGAGGACGAAGGGCATAACCATGAAACTGTTGCAACACTGAGCTTTTTGCACCAGCTTCAAACACAGCCATGGGACAGCACCAGAAACACGAAACCTTGCTGGTTTTGGTGCTGCTTGGACCAGGGGGAGCCAGGAGATGTTATTAGTAAGGCAAGCAGTTGTTCAGGCTATTTCAAGCTTATTAAAAGGATATTTTTCTTTCTCCCAAGGCTCAGAATTGGCCTCTGTGAGCCTTGTCTGGGCAGTGTGTCCTCACTGGATGGCCAAGTGTGAAATCTGAATTGGCTCCACTTAGAGACTCGTTCCTGTGAAAAGCAGAATTTGTTATCTCAGGAGGTGCTTTCAGCCACTCTGGGCTTTGTCAGGTCCTTGTGTTCATCCCTTTTCATCTGTGCTGTGCCTCCTCTGCATATCCTCTTATCCCTGGGTCTCATCTTTTCATCTATTTATTGCACAGCATCTCTACTGCTTTGCTATAGCACCTGATTCTACTGCTGGATGTAATCAAAATTCATGTTTCACCAGAAAAATATACAGCAAAAAGATGAGTTTAATATATGTGGCTTTAATGGCAGGGACTGACCTTTGAGTTAACTCAGAAGAAATTGCAAGGCATCCCTGAAGCTCATGTTACAACAGTCTTTCCTGAAAGGAATCCCACAGTCTTTCTGGAAAAACTGTGAATTTTAACTCTAAATTCTAAGATGATTTATTTGAGTAAGAATTGAAAAATAGGTCTGGTGTACAGAGGCATAACCCACAAAATGGAAACCTGTGGTCTTTAACTGAATTACTTCTCCTTTGAGGAATTAAACTATTTTAGTTAGGAAAACATTTTTAGTATGGGGATAAATGCACTCATATCAAAATAACCCATTATAGCTAAATCTGTGGAGATTTGGAACATCTTTCAGATGTGGCCTCATTTATTTTAATTGAATGCTTCCCAGGAGTGCTGAAGGACTGGAAAAAAAATCAAGCAGTTACTTTTTTCTAATTTCTGTCATCTTAAGGAAAGTTATTAACCTCCAAGTGAGGGGCTGTGTCACTCCAGTGTCACATGAACGGTGTTCTCTTGCTCTGTAGGGGCAGCAGCTTTACCAGAGGAGTTGCTTTGGGCTCAAGTGCTGCAGAGCTGAGGACGTGGTTGGGCTCTTCCACTGCCTTCAGATCCTGGAGAAGTGGTGGAGAGGGAATAACTGTGAGGAGCTGGAAGGGGTATGTAATGTTTCACTTCCAAACTGATCCCATCCTTCACCTGAATGTGTTCCTGTGCCAGGCAGTCTCTGGCTTTCGAGGGAAAGTACTCTCCAAGCTGTTTCTTTGCCAGGGAATTGTTAACTTATTCTCTCTGTACAGCATTTGATGACTGAAAAAAACCCCTCTCACAGATGTGCAGGACTACCTAGATTAGTGCAATTCTTTACCCACCTGGAAAGGCTGGATTTTAATCCTTTTTTCTCCTTATTGTGACTGAAGAACAGGGGTGTAGAAAAAGAAGAAGGAATATCAGAAGAGTTGAGGAGAAAGAAGCAGCAGGTTGGAACATTTGGCTTTAAATGCAGGAAATAACTGGAACTGATGTGCTGCTGAGGTGGCTGGGGGAAACAACAAAATGCTCTAACTCTGGTTCTGGGAGCTGTGTGAGCAGGAACTGATGGAGATGAGACTCAGGGCTCTTTCAGTAAGAAGTGGTTCAAACAATGTCTGGGAGAGCAGTGAGATCATGAAAACAGCTTCCTTCTTGTTCCAGCACACGAGTCCTCCAAAAATCCTTAGTACAGAACAGGAGTCCACGTTCTGCTCCTCCATGTGACAGTGCAGACACCCAAGTGCCTTGTCCAAAACCAGTTCCTTTTGCATAAGTGCACCCAACACTTGGGTGCTTCCACAGCATCCCCAGAGCTTCAGAGAAAAGACTTTTGTCCTTTTCTCTGATTACAGAGAGCAGATACTGCAGTGCCCAATTTTGTTGTGTTCTCATGTTCTGATAGCTTGTTTTGCTTTGTCTCACTTATGCTGTAAAGTGCCAGTCACAGTTACCACAAACCCTTTTTGTTGACCAATTTGCATTTTTGACTAGAAATAATTGTCTTTTTATACTTCATGTTTAGGGTTGCACTAAAGCTCAGTGGCGTATTGTGAGCTCTTTGTTCAGCCCTACAAAGCAGTTCTTGTGTGAGCTCAGCTCTAACAAATGATCTAAGCCACCCTGATACAAAAACAGGCCACAGTTGTTTTCCTCGCTCTCTTAAATAGTTTATTTTTATGTTTGCTGCTAAGTACTCCATGTAGTAGGCAAATTTATTTTTAGAGATAGGCTCTGTGTCTTTCCCAGCATCTGTCAGAAGTGAAGTTCTGTTTAGCAGATGGAATTTAATTTCCTGTGGTGAGCTGTCATGAATTGGGTGTAGACTTGAGAATATGGAGCGAGTTAATGAAGGATAACTCCATTTTGGGTCAGACTCCCACTCCAGTTAACCCCTGTGGGGAGGCATTAGTGCAGGACTCGTGGTTCTAATGGGCATCAAGCAGCACTGCAGATCAAGGGTGCTGAGCTGAGGGGATGTGCACCCTCCAGCCCCTTTGCTAAGGTGCTTTAAGTATAATTAGACTTGGGTAAGCCAGAGAGGTTCTTTCTGGAGCCAGCAAGGGTTTGCAGCCTGTTCAGCCCTGCCATGTGATAGGTATCCCATCTCCAAGTCAGCTGTGTTTTTAAATAGGAATTTTTAGAGCTTTCCTGCAGAATGATTGAACTTTAAGACCTTCTTGACAAGTGTTTGTCCTACAGAGGTGTGGGATTATTTCT